AACAAAAATAACAAAATGAGATTGCCATAAGATGCAATTGTAGTTTTTAAATCGTGACATTGTTGCATGATTATCATATGGGAGTCATTCAGACACTGGTGACTTTTGCATTTGTTATTGTGGCTTCTTTAAGAATTGTAGGTAACAAAATTCTCACTGCCACACGTTTAAACTTTAAATAAAARGAGTCACAAATTTCTCATGGATCAGAAAGCAAAGTACACAGTTGTTGTGCACACAGTTGCCACTGTTGTGTTGTATAAAACACAGCTGTAATAGAAAGATGCCTTTTAATTTAAAGGCTGAACGTTTCTTGAAGGAATGCATTTCACCCACTGCCTGTCATGTCAGAGTTTGAAACCATCTTGTGCTGAGAAATGACAGAGTTGTGGCCATTTCTGTCAAACTTTGGAACAGGGCCGGAGTAAGACTTTTTGCAAAGGGTGGCCAAGATTTTTAGGGGGCACAAGCCCTCATGGTTGCCACAGCTAATTCCAAATGGCTTTAATTCAGCTTAAGAAGTAAGCGTAACTTTTGGTCATAGTTAAGAATGACTCAAAAAACCTTTGAATGCTGGTCATTATTTATTATTCAGCCATTTTTAGTGCAAAAGTAGACAAAAAATAAAAAATCTTTACCAAATTCTAAATGTTAATGAAAAATTCAAGACTAACCCCACAGCTAACTCTAAAAAGCCATTTTACTGAGATGAAATTTGTGGGGGTGTAGAAGGATCACATGCTGATTGCCGATGCTAATCCCAAATTAAGCTAACCAAAAATGCTAATGATAATTTTGCAAAGGYATATAATTCAGCCATTTTTTATACARATWAAGCTGAAAATTTGTARAGTAGTATTAGAGAACAATCTTTCACAAAATCTAAATGCAAAAATCCAAGATCCCTAAAAAGCTGTCAGTCATGAAGGAGGGGGCACCTAGGGTGGCCAATCAYGTGCCAGAGGTGGCACTTACRACCCTGGCCACCTGATTGGCTCCGCCTCTGCTTCAAAAACAAAAAAAAGTTAAATTTTATGTGATAGTTTTATAGGTTATGTGATTTATTAGCATTTGGAAGATGATTCTCAGCTACGAACACTCAAGGGGTATTAATATTTTGGATTCAATTCAAAATTTTGCTAACAAACAAAGTAGATTACAATAGTTAATGCAAAGGTTTTAAGCAAAGATGTTGCACAAGGAGCTATGCTCCACATTGGGGACAATGCTCAGCTACTGTCGCACCAAATTCTAAATTATTATCTGTTAAATTGGCTGAATTATAATTTTTTTGTTTGTTTTCCAGGGTCCATTGGCTGTSGCGGCCATCTTAAATCAGATTGAATCCAAAAGTTAARCAAGTGCAGATCCAGTGATTACTTTCTGAAATCCATTCATTGATTCATGAGATATTTTGCTGACAGGACAGACAAGCATATATATACATCAATGAGGGATAATTAAATTGAAGAGTGTCTGTTATTAAGGTAAATTAAAAGTAACTGGACTTCTTTTACATTTTCTGAAAATAAATCAGTCCAGTGTTTAGTGTGACTGAGAACCCTCAGCAGCAGAAGGTCTGGCTCCTTGAATTGCAAAGCAGAAAGAAAGGYTAGTTAGTTTAAAACTTTACCACAGTCCTGCATATATTTAGACCCACAGCCGAAGCTTCACTCAAGGCTTCCTGTCATTTTTAGCTCAGGGGCAGTGAAAAAAAAGAGCTACAGCTAATTATTGTGGCTAAAACCATGAAGGTGGGACATTTGGACAAAACTGAAATATACTTAGACCAGACTGCAGTGATTCAGACTTGTGTCTCGTTGAAAATGATGTGTTTRAGTTACTGGGTCAGTTTGTCCTCTCGGAGTTTCACAGAGAAGCACCTGGGTGTGTTTCAGACATGACAGCGGCTCGCTCACTTGACAGACTGTTTAACATAAAACTGTGGAACAGACTTTAATTAACACATCTTTACTTGGGTGCAAATACGTCTTTGTTCTGCCGTTCTGCCTGAGTGAAACATCAAATTGGAATACAAAGCTTGAAACTTTACACCTGAATGCCCAAAGTGACGTCCTCGATTCTGACCTCACAAACTATTGTATTTCCTTCTGCTCGGAACAGAACCATTGATCATTTGGACAAAATGGATTTTTCACTTCGAACAAGGTGAAACTGATGGTGGACGACAATGCTTTGGTTTGTGTGTATTTGTCTAAATATCTCATGAACCAATGAATGGATTCACTGAAATTCTCAAAAAGATAGACAACTGATTAACTTTTTGACCCCAATTCAAGATGGCCACCACATCTAACAAATAGCCAACACAAAATTAGCTATATATTGAGCTAAAATTTAGCAAGAATTTTTTTTAACATTTCATTTTACATGTGGTCAAGCAGGTTGAAGTGCATCTCGGACACTGGCCATAACTGCAAGTTAGTTTAGTTTAATGTCTTGTTGGGAGAGCGCAAGCGGCTGCTATTGTCTCAGAATGATGACATCATAACGTGAGCCGAGCACCAACAGCAAAGGCTGCATTCCATTCTAAAACACCTAAATGCGAACTTCAACACTTAAGTTGAACATTTTAGGTTTAAATTTTACATTTAGATTTAATTATTTAGATTTAGGATTTAATATATCTTTTTAACTTTAAATTTAACATTTCGAAAAAATTATCTAAATGTAAGAACAGTGAGCTAAATAACAAAAAATATTAGTGGATAATTTTTAACACTCATAAAATGAGCTAAATATTGTAAAATATACGTATTATTGATTTTTTTAACATTTCATTTTACACTTGGTACCCCATAGACATCAGCTAAAACCTATTTCCAACACATACCCTGTGGGCACAAAACAATGAACCAAGAACAGAATTAAAAGAAAAAAAAACTCTGAAAATCCCAACTCCCCAGTTTTTAGTGGAAACCCCAAGGTTGTAAACGAGGGTCTTTGAATAACTGGAAAATTAATTTTCATTAAATGATAAGACATGGCTTTTCACCAAGAATCTCATCTGCATAATGTTAGTATTAAACCTACATGAAGGTGAATTAGGTACACCAGATGGTGATGCTCCATAAAGGTCGTCTTCTGCATTGACTTCTTTAAGAAAACAAAATGAAATGTTGTGCAAGGTCACCGAGTTATTAATTACTCCTAAATGTCATGTTAAAACATTTGCTTTGATGAGGCACCTTTAGTGCTAATTTCAATTATGGTCAAGGAAGATACTCGACAAGTTTAGTAATTCATTTAAACACAGAGACATATTTTATTATAACTGACTAAAACCAGTGATTAAAGGCTTTGAACATGAAAATCCTGTTGGAAAATTAGAAAAAAAATAGTCTGTGTTAACACTGTTTTCCAGTTTGGCAATTTCTAAGAGTAAAAATAAAAATTCAGCTACTTGTAATTCAGTTTGAGTTTTAATTTTAAACCCTTAAATTTAGATGTTTAAAAATGAATTTGTTCCTGTGCAGTTTATAGATAGCTATTCAAAAATGTGATTTTATGCAGTGGCTCGATTATAAGCCTTAATCGTTTTCAACTTCATACTTTTTTATGCTATTAAAKCTGAGTGACCAAATGTGTGATTGATTAGGAAGGTGTTAAAGGACTTAAAGATCTTTTAACAGAACTTCAGAAGTTACTGAGGATATGGAGGGTGCTAGGAGATCCATCTGAACTTCATCAATCAGACCTGAGTGGACCCTTCACCTGCACTGAAGTAAAAGAAAAGAAAGTAAAGAATTCAGAAAAACGTTACAGAGAATCACTGTCCAATCCGCCACCGATTTATTTTTCCATTTTGTCTGAAAAACAGAAACTGCTTATAAACTGCCAGTTTGGTTTCAAAGGCGTTTCCTAGCTGCTGGGTCAAAAAGAACATATACGGTCCAGCAACCCTCAGGACGACACATAAATAAATCAAAAACCATGCAACTTTTTTTTAAAAAAAGGAATGGCTTCACGTCAAGTTTCTGACTTTTGTTTTGTGACCTAAAATGCTGYAATAAAAACAATAAATTCATGTAAAGAGATCTGCAGTTCAGATGCACATAAATCATTTATTTATTTACTAGTATAAAGTAGAAGCATGTACGATGATGGTGCTTTTTCTTTTACATCTCATATGGAGCATGTTCATATTTCATTCAGACACTGATATGAGGGAAATTAGGTTTTTTTTTTTAGTGTTTTGCCCAAGGGTGCTTTGGCACAACAGAAGCTCTTGATGGAACCCCCAACACACCGATTSGAGGACGACCTTCCAATGCACCGGSCAAGATAATCCTGCTTGTTCCAGTACCAGATACATACACAACTGGTATTTAAACAGTAAGTGGACTAGGTCAGAAGCAGAAAGATATTAAAACCAGGTCTGATGGCATCCATGTCTGCAGGAGTGTGTGGTGCAGACGTCCTACAAACAGAACACAGAGTAAATCTGTCTCCGACTTGGCAGCAATAAGCTCAGACCTGGGGCTCATAAATGGGGAAGGCGTGAAGCACGGACCCTCGAGGGATCCCATTAAATCCACAAGCCCGGTGCATTTTGCCATTTTCCTCAACAATCAGCAAATTCCATGTGATCCCTCTGGTCAGCAGCGGTGGACGCGCTGCCACTCAACAGAACAGGGGCTTRCCTCAGGGTTCGACAGGTAGATTCAGGAGTTCTGCAAGTGTGGCTATCCTGAACTCTTCCAGGGTCCGTCCACACACTTAAACTGTATCTCATTAGGGTCAGCATCGCCTGAGCTTAGGTTTCGTATCTCTTTCCCTTTAGGGCTCGGGAGGTTATGATTTGATCATCGACTCCTGCTTCCCCGGATGACTCGCATGGTTTCAGGCTAGAACTGAACTTCAGCTGAGTTTGGACTCTTTTGGGGAGAAGTCATTTATGATCAAACATTTGGAGTTTGTAAATCTTGCCTTGTCACTATATACACCAATATCAAATTAGACTCCACAGCCGCTCAACATCACAATCCAAATCGTTTACTAGAGACTGAAAGACTTCAAGGTGAAAAACAGTTGCTTCAGAAAAAAAGAGTGATTTTTGTGAGCAAACAGGCATCTCCCAAAATGTATTATTTAATAAAGAGGTTATGGTTGTAGCTTCAAAGAAGAGCTGTGGGTGTGCCTTCCAAATCCTAAGGACACATTTTTAAAATCACTACAGTACTCAGAGTAAACTGCACTAAGCACCCGAGGAGCCGCTGGCCACGAGTGAAAACTCTACAAGAAACAGATAAGAAAGAACACCAAAAACAACACAGGAGAAACATTTCTTTACACTTGAGTTTAGTTAAGTTAGAAACACAGCAAAATGTGTGAGAAGTTCTAGATTTTAGTTGCAGCAAAGAAAAAAATAACATTCATAACAAATAAAAACAGAGTTTATAGAATCATCCCCACTAATGAAAAGAGGGATCGGTCCTTGAAACTGAAATGAAAAGCACAACAAGTCAGTGACAAACTGTACTAAAAAAAAAACTTTTATAAAAACAAGATTTGTTTTCAGGAAGAAAGTGCTTTCTTTTCCTTCGAAAGTCTTTAAAAAACTTTTTTTTTGTGAAAACTGAGCTTAGAACTCGGTCATCTTCTTGTGCGTGTCCGCCTTCTTGTGCGCTCTCTGGATGGACAGCTCCTGAGCTTTCTGCTGGGCCAGCAGGCGGCGGGCCGCGGACAGCTTCTCCTCCAGCTGCTTGACTCTGGACGCATCCCTTTGTGAACACAAAACAAGCAGACATGAGAGGGGAGGTGAGACGTGACCAGTTCAATTGATTTTTGGCGACACTGGTGTCTATGAAAGCAAAGGTTTGAACCTCAGACATGCTTTGTTTAACACAAATCCCATGATTCCTTACTATGAATTCAAATAAGTTCTCTTCTTACTTGAAAAGAACAACAAAGCTAATAGTAAAAGCAGTGGTGGGCAGCACTYATCTAAAAATTAGTTCCACTAGCTCTAAAGCACTAACCCAAATATTTAGGTCCCCTAATTCTAAAGCACTGAAAATTGTAGCATAAGCTAAAATTTTACTAAAATAAAACAGTGAACCCATGAACATTCATCAACAGACAACATGAGTCACATGTTGCTCTCTTAAGACTTATTATTGACATCCCACAGCTGTATTTAGGTTCCTATATATGTCACCTGGTGGATAAGTGACACGCATATGAACAAAATGTGTGACAGCTTTCACCATCAGCTGTTAACAATGATGTACATCAATAACATTTATAGACATCAGCGCTTTTAATTTAGCCTATAAATTTAGCAAGTGCTAATCCACTAATAAAGTTTAAAATTAGCAAAAGCCCTAAAGCACTAATCAGGAAATTAGTTCCCCTGTTAGTGATTTAGGGCAGGGATTCCCAACTAGGGGTACGTGTACCCCCTAGTGGTAAGCGAGCATATTGCAGGGGATACGTGGAAAAATTTCCCAGGTGTTTAAATAGATTTACGCAATGCGGAAAATGCAAACAGAATCACGGAATTGACAAAACAAAATGAAATCCCGTATAAAATTCTCACAGAATTTGCTTTATTTGGTTTAGTTTCTGAGGTATTTTGGACGCTGACACTTGCTGTACCAGCCATTGCCTGGTTTATTTTTTTAATTACTTATTCTATTTCAAGGTAACGCATCTTTATGTTTAATTTGAGTTGAAAACAATAAAAGGTTAAATAAATAAAATATTTTAATTTAATAATCAGTTGTAGTACATTATAGTTTTGAAAATTCATCATTACGTTTGACAGAGGAGGTACTAGTGGTATGACCAAATGGCTCAGGGGGCACACAAGTCTAAAAAGGTTGGGAACTACTGCTTTAGGGGAACTGTGCCCTACCACTGAGTAAGAGTTACTGTATTTATTTATGTATAACACGATCTCATGTATAATATGACCCCCCCTTTTTTGAGCTTAAAAAGCATAAAAAATTTCATCCTCAAACTAACTCCAATTTCATACAGACTTCAAGATTTTTCAGCRTTTBCAGTCTTTATACATATCAGTAAAATGATCATTGGACTGTTCATTTTATTTTAACAACATATGTACTAAAAGGTATTTTGACAACAAATACATATCAGCTGTAGCAGCATCATATGAATTCTGGCATTTTACACAAGTCCACCAGGAGGCGCCAACACAAAAGTCAGAGACTTCACATGAGATTTGGGCCATCTTGTGGGGGAAAGCAGATTACTTCCTAATCGCGAGCGCCCCCTCTGGTGAGGAAACATTTTTTTCAGGGATACAAACATTTTCAGAACACCAGTAGACGGCAGCCATTACAGACGAACATGTGTTTGTTGTTGTTTGAGGAGCAGCTCGGTCACACACTAATGCCATTCGTTCGTTATCATTACTGAGCTGCTGGACTACCTTTTCCCCCCTTTTTTCACGTCGCCTGCCTGGATCTGTTACTATCTAGCTTTGAATCACGACGGAGTGTCAGAGGTAAGCTCGCTTCAACTGCTTTTTACGTCGTGGTCTTATTTCCGAACTGAGGCATTTTGCGAATGAAGCCGATATTTCGGTTAAAATACATAAGTAAAAATATTAATCCAAGTATAGTACTACCCCCCAACTTTATGGATGATTTTATGGATTTAATTTTACGTATTATACTTGAATAAATACGGTAATAAATTGTGCGTTTTTCACTAACCCAACAGTAATTATGCTAACTGTTAGAGCTTCTGATGAACTAAAAGGGGAAATTTTGGGCTGAATTATAACGTGAATATTTTTAATGAGGTTCTGTAGACATTGACTATAGAAATATTTTTGAAGAAGCTAAAAGTTGAGCGCAGAGGTAATTAGATTGCAAAAAATATGTACAGAAAAGAAATTGTGGACAAATAATATGAACGCTGATTCCAAKTGAGCAAGGTACACATAAATGCATAAAATCTTAGGAAGTTTTTTTTTGTGCCAGTACTGACCTCCCTGTCTGTCTGCTGAGAGACTCGCTCAGTTTCTGGATCTCCCTCTCAGTCTGAGACACCCTCTGAGCAGCCTGGAACAGGTTCACATTCAGAGTCCTCTTGGTGGATTTCCCCGCTCTGTAAGCCTCCAKCCCCGTCGCTGCCGGCGACGCAGCAGCGCCCCCCTCTGCAGAATCCCTGCTCTTGTCTCCTAGCTTGTGGTTTAAAAAGTCAAAGACAGTTTTGCGCTCTCCYGTGGCGACTCGGGGCTTCCTGCGCCGTTTCGGCCGGGCGGCTTGTGTGCCATTCTTAGCAGTCCTGCTCTGGGTGCGTCTCTGTGTGAGCTCCGCACACTCGTCCAGGGACCTCCCCTTCGGGAGGACCACCGCCWTCACGGGCTCTACTCGACCCTCCTGCAGCTTTCCTAAACCTGAGGAAACAAAAAACAGCTTCTCTGAAGAAAAGAATACATTGTTTTTTGTGAATTCATTTGCAAAAGAACATTTATAACTTTTTGGTKATTTTTATTTTGCCTTTCTTTCTTTTAGACAGCTTTGATTCTGATCTCGATTTATTCTTGAGGTAGTGTAAAATGCACAAAATACTTCTGCAACACAATAAAAATTGATTTTAAACATATATTTCAAAGCTACAATTTTAAAAAAAACATTAAAGGTGTTACTTTTTTTAGAAAATTCATTTTCACCACCTTGTGTCTTGTTATATACTGGCTCCTGCCTTAAAGTTTTTTTCCCCAATATTCACTTGTTTTTATTGCAGAACGTGTGAACACAGCATTTCAAGTGAAACATCTCACCATCCTGTGTCCTGTTCAAGTTCCCAAAACATCTTTACCACAGACTTCAAAATAAAAGTCCTAATCTGCTCCCGTCTCTCAGCCGACATTAAAAAATCAACATTTCTGCAGTAATCACATTTTTATGGATTTTCTCTTTAAATACAATTCACAGAAACCGCCTCCTTTCTCTCAGACTACAATACAAGTTTATAGAAAGAAAACACAACCTCACTACACGTGCACGACGAAGGCGTTTACACAGTTTATGCGTATTTCTGCAGACCATCAAGACGGATTTCATTTAAAAAGTCCATATCTTGTTTTTTTTTTACACCTTACAAAACAATATTAAAATTTTATGACTTAGTTGATTATAATATTTTGCTGGTTATGTATATGGCTGATAAAAATGTATTATCTTCGAACACTCACTTACATTTTGTTAAGCGGGAAAGTTGCTATAATCTTAAGGGACTTGAGATGTTTGTTAAACTTGAAATTTGAACAAATTTGAAGGACAGGAAAAGGATTATGGAATAATTTGGAGAGTGACTGTAAAAAGGCTGGTTCACTTAAATTGTTTAAGAGAATGATAAGGGTTGGTTTGTTGGAGAAATATAAGGTTGTATAATGTGTATTTATATGAATTACTGTTTGAGGAATTTAAGATTTTTTTGTTTTATTATTGAAATTTTAGTTTGAAAATAAATGTCTTTTTTTAATGGGGCAGATATGATAAGATTTTTTTCTTCTGCTGCTGCCC